GGCCCCCACCCCTGAGTGGTGGGTGGGGGCCCTAAATTATAATAAGGGGGAGGACCTAATGTCCTCCACTAATGTCCTCCCCCCTGGCCCCCACCCCTGAGCGGTGGGTGGGGGCCCTACAGTAAAATAGGGGGGGGGACCTAATGTTCTCCCACTGACTCCCACCCCTGAGCAGTGGGTGGGGGCCCTAAATACTAATAAGGGGAGGGACCTAATGTCTTCCCCCCTGGCCCCCACCCCTGAGCGGTGGGTGGGGGCCCTACAGTAAAATAAGGGGGGGACCTAATGTCCTCCCCCCTGACCCCCACCCCTGAGCGGTGGGTGGGGGCCCTACAGTAAAATAAGGGGGGGACTTAATGTCCTCACCCTGGCCTCCACCCCTGAACAGTGGGTGGGGGCCCTAATGTAAAACCTGGCCCCCACCCCTGAGCGGTGGGTGGGGGCCCTAAATTATAATAAGGGGGGGACCCTATTGTCCTTCCCCCTGGCCCCCACCCCTGAGCGCTGGGTGGGGGCCCTACAGTAAAATAAGGGGGGGACCTAATGTTCCCCTGACTCCCACCCCTGAGCAGTGGGTGGGGGCCCTAAATACTAATATGGGGGGGGACCTAATGTCCACCGTTCAGGGGTGGGGGCCAGGAGGGAGGACATTAGGTCCACCCCCCCTTTTTAGTATTTAGGCCCCCCACCCACCGCTCAGGGGTGGGGGCCAGGGGGAGGACATTAGGTCCCCCCCCCTTATTAGTATTTAGGGCCTCCACCCGCTGCTCAGGGGTGGGAGGACATTAGGTCCCCCCTTATAAGAATTTAGGGCCCCCACCTGCCACTCAGGGGTGGGGGCCAGGGGTGAGGACATTAGGTCCCCCCAATTTTTATTTATGGCCCCCACCCACCACACAGAGGTGGGGGCTGGGGGGGGAGAACAGTAGGTCCACCCCCCCTTATTGTTATTTAGGGCCCCCACCCGCCGCGGAGGGGTGGGGGCTGGGGAGGAGGACAGTAGGTCCCCCCCAAATTTTTATTTATGGCCCCCACCCACTGCTCAGGGCTGGAGGACTGGGGGGCAATAGGTCCCCCTTTTAGTTTAAAAGCCCCCACTCACGCGTCACGGGGGCCCAGGAAGGGGGGAATTTTTTTAATAAACATGTCCTACTAGCTGGGTCACATGCTGCACTGGCCAATCACAGCCATGCCATTAGTAGGCATTGCTGTGATGGCTTCTAAGGGCACACAAGTCAAACGCTTGTTGATTGGCTGCCCTGCGGCCTTTCAAAACGCATCATTAAATTGCCCAACACTGAACTCAACCCAAACATACAGTGATATGTCCGTGTTCGAGTCCAGGGGTCCAAAAAACGTAATGTTCGGTATGAACCCGAACTTTTCAGTTCGGGTTCGCTCAACTCTAGTAAAATGCTTTACATTAGATATTCATATTTTAATTATTTATTATAGTTTGTTTGTAAAAAGAACCTATATAGCAATAACAAATATCTTGGTAGAAATTAACAAGTTTGTACCAAATGTGATGAATAAACTCTCTTCTTTATTGGTATATAAATTGTTGAATATGTCTGCATTCTGAGTTCAATAGACTATCATCTATGGACATTCCTATGCTATTATTATACTTAAAAGTTTTTGCAAGCAGCATTTGGATAAACCCAAATGACAAAATGCATAATTAAATGCATGCATGTTTGGTCGTGGGTATATCTACTAAACATAGATTTTTAGTTTATTTTAAATTTGGCCAGCGCAGTGTCCCTTTAAGTCTTCATATAGAATTTCGTGTCTAGTTCATTGCATTACAAATAAATATAAAATAGAACAGTTTCTGTTC